TTGTGTACGTTTACCACCTCTGTTTAGTAAAGATCTAAATGTTTATGATACGTGACAAAAGGCCCTTAGGTCCCAAGCGGGGTCGTAGACAATATTAGGGCGTTGCGTAGGAGCATTCTCAGTCCGTAGACAGTGCTCTTGCTAGTGTCGTCGATTCACTTTAGACGGTGGATTTTAGGAATTATCTTTATTTGTTGATAAGTTTTCTTTACACTGTTGGTTTTGCGGATATAAATTGTACGGTCTAAACTTCCTTGTTATGCAATGCTGACTGCCCTTCGTCCTTTTTCTGTAATTCCTTAACTCTAACAGTCTATTGTGAAATTAGTTGTTTCCAGTTTGTTCAGATGACCGAAGTTTTTGGGCACATTGTTGGATCGAACGGACGTGCGTTTGCTGAAGAGAAAGTTGGTACGTTTGTGAATTGTTTCATATATCTTTTCTGAAATATTAACTCTCCCGATATGCAGCTTGTTTAAGGAAATTGATGCTTTTGTAGTATTTACATTAGCTAACAGTGTTTTCTTTCTGTTACAGATAAACTGTGATTGAAGCTGCGGAACAATTCTTTAACGGAGGTACCTCAGATTGGCTGATTTTTGGAAATGACGTCAAATTTGACACGAGAAGATCAACAGACGACGACTAGCCTACCCGGGAAGCCATTTTTCCGCAATTTCTGAAGTTTTCGCTGGAATCCGAGGACTTTTGCGACATACACGGGCTCCCGGTGCTTTGCGAACTTAGTTTATTTAATTTTAGAATGGAGCATTGTTTAAGGAACGAGTGAAATGGATGTGGTGTTTAAGGGAGAAATAGATAGACTGGTAGTATGCTGTAAAACAATACTGGTATATTGTAACTTCTGGAAAATACACGTTGTACAGTTATCTTACGATAAATAATTGCATTTCTTCGTTTCTACTCAAGTTGAAATCCTTTCCTTTACTCCTGTGATGGCCTTGTACCCTCTATTTTTAAATGAAACAAATCTAAATTGTTATTTAACGAGAAACGCTAATTATTCATAGATCGAAGTACTTGCAAATAAAACAGAAGCTTTAATACAATCGATACGTTAATAAATTAGTAAACAAAGCTGCTATTTCCGCTTCGTATTTCGGACTTGGAGAATTTTGGCATGTCTGAGAAGCGATTGACTTGAACTACTGGCCACCTCCGAAAATTTCCGAGCGTCCGAGAAATGGCCGACCTGCACTACTGGCGAATCGCGAAAATTTTCGAGAGTCCGAGAAATGGTTGACCTGCACCACTGGCTTGAACAAATTTCGACGTCTGACTTATGGTTGACCCGCAGGAAATCTCGGAAAATTTTTAAATTTCTCGGATTCGCGAGAATTGCACATTGTTGCAAAACGCGTTATCGCGTTTGCAACTTTGTTGCCGCGAACCGTTCCCGAAAATTGCACATTGTTGCACGACGCCCCGTTTTGCAACATTGTGCATTTCTCGAGAACGACTCGCGGCAACAAAGTTGCAAACCCGAAAACCCACGGTCGCAACATTGTGCCTTTTTCGAGAGTCGCGCGCGCGACACAAAGTTGCAAAAAGGGGAGATCGCGCTTGCAACTTTGTTGCCGCGAATCGTTCTCGAAAAATGCACAATGTTGCAAAACGGGGGCGTCGTGCAACAATGTGCAATTTTCGAGAACGGCTCGCGGCAACAAAGTTGCAAACGCGATAACGCGTTTTGCAACATTGTGCATTTTTCGCGAATCCGACAAATTTCAAGATTTCCTAACTCTGCCCGAACTTAGTGTACTTCATTTTTTAATGGCGTATTATTTAAACAATAAGTGTTTCGCAAAAGGAAGTGGATTTGGTGTGTAAGGGAGAAATAAATAGACGGTAAAATGCTGTTAATGTAACACTGGTGTATTGTAACCTTTTGTAAAATACATTTCATACACTTATCTTACAATAAATAATTGATTTTTCCTTAAGTAATTGCGTTTCTTGATGTTTCCCGATGTTCCTGTCCTTTCCTTGATTGCTGTGGTTGCTTCAAAGTTCCATCTGTAGTGCACACAAAAGGAACATTAATTTTTCAATATTCAATAGAAGTTATAAACAATTATTAACTAATCTACTGCATGCAATTGTTAAATAAACGTGAAACTAAGAAAATTAAGCTGTTTTGTTAAGTTAAATCATGCAATGAATCTATTTAACGCATCCAATAATTATAAACTACCGTCTAAATTGTTATTTAACTGGAAACACTAATTATTCTACAATGAAGGTATTTAAAAGTGAACCAGAAACTTTATCTTACTATCTACGTTACTAGTAATGTTGAAGCAATGAAAAATTTATTATAAATATCAATTTTAAACTACTTAATAATACGAAGAATTTCTGTGTTAAAAATCAACTAACCTGTTAATACTTCATTCCTGACGATTTTCTCAATGTTACATGAGTAAAACAAGGAACGGAGTAAGAATAGATAAGGATAGCAACAGTACCGTGTGTTAGACAAGGAAACGAATAGCGGTAGACAAGGATAGCATTAGGGTAATGAGTTAGACAAGGAGAGGTATAGGGTTAGACAAGGACAGAAAAAAGTGGGGGGCCGAGACTAACCCCATCTCGCGTTTGGCTTCCCGAACTAACGACTCGTTAATAGGATAACAGAATATAAACAGAGGTATTAGACAAGGAAAGTACTACTGTGCGACAAGGACAAAGAGAGAACGCTTCCTATTGGCTGGCGGGCACCCAAGCTCGACTAACCACAGGCTAAACCAAGTCCGTCGGGGAAAAATCATTAATAACTCATTAATCAAGATGATTCTGTGAACTTTTAGAATTAAAGAATACAGAGGGGACCTTCAGCAACTTTCACATATACTTTTCAGTTCTCTAGACCCTTTCGATAATTAGTTATTAATCATTTTAGTACGCAAAGTCGGGAACGATACAGCATACCGTCAAGTATCTTTCCGGTTTTTCAATAATTTCATAGCTTTCCGCTAAATTCTCATGCAAATAACTGCATGCGTTTGAAAAGCAGTTCCCTTAGCTACATTCTTTTATAAGTTTTATTAACATATTCCGTTTAGTTTATGAGTTATTAAAAATTATATGAGAGCGTCTTCTGTTCATCGTACTCATATATAGTCAACTGTTCTAAACAATGGCTAATATCAATTAAACCGCACGACTTAGAGCTACAAAAATTATTGTAGAATATAGACAAAGGTTCATTCTACATTCTTCACGCCTTAAAGTGCATAATCAGTTACGCATATCGACAGAAATAACGAAAATGTGTTACACTTGAATACGACGCCTGCAACACTCACCCAAAGAATACTCAGTATCTCCTAAACTAAACGGAATATATTAATAAAAATAAGAGAAGAATGTAGGTAAAGGAGTTGCCTTTCAGATACATATAATTAATTGCACGAGAATTTAGCGGAAAGCTATGAAACTATTGAAAAACCGTAAACGTATTACATCCGTTTAAATACGTCGCATTCAAGCGTAACACATTTTCGTTATTTTAATAGAAACACGTGATAAATTATGCACTTTTAAGCATGCAGAATGTAGAATGAACCTTTGTCTATATTCTGCAATTGGTTTGGTAGCTCTAAGTGGTGTGGTTTAATTGATATTAGCAATTGTTGATAACAGTTCACTATATACGACTGCGATGAATAGGAGACGCTACCCTTTAATGTTTAATAACTCATAAACTAAACGGAATATGTTAATAAAACTTATAAAAGAATTTAGCTAAGGGAACTGCTTTTCAAACGCATGTAGTTATTTGTATGGGAATTTAGTAAAAAGCTATGAAATTATTGAAAAACCGGAAAGATACTTCACGGTATGCGGTATCGTTCCTGACTTCGCGTACTAAAATGATTAATAACTAATTATCGAAAGGGTCTAGAGAACTGAAAAGTATATGTGAAAGTTGCTGAAGGTCCACTCTTCATTCTTCAACTCTAAAAGTTCACAAAATCATCGTAATTAATGAGTTATTAATGATTTTTCCCCGATGGACTTGGTTTAGCCTGTGGTTGGTCGAGCTTGGGTGACCACCAGCCAATAGGAAACATTTTCGCTCTGTCCTTGTCGCACAGTAGTGCTTTCCTTGTCTAATAACTCTGTTTATATTCTGTTATCCTATTAACAAGTCGTTACTTCGCGAAGCCAAACGCGAGATGGCGTTAGTTTCGTCCACCCACTTTTTCTCTATCCTTGTCTAACCTTATACCTCTCCTTGTCTATCTCATTACTCTAATGCTATCCTTGTCTAACACACAGTACTGTTTCTATCCTTGTGTACCGCTATTCCTTTCCTTGTCTAACACACGGTACTGTTGCTCTCCCTATCTATCCCTATTCCTTTCCTTGTCTAATTCGTTTCTAGAGTTGTATCCTTGCTCCCTTTTTCCTTTTCTTTTTTATCCTAATGTACACATAACAAAAGAACCAATAAAATTTAAAATAACTTCACTTTAAGACAAAGCACATATATTTAAGAATTTAAATTAAGACACAATTGTTAGATAATGAAGTAAAAATTTTTATTTACACTTTCATTCTGTAAGGTGATCGATTTATATTCTTTATGTATAAATAAATCTAATGGTATAATTATATACAATTTCGACGTTACTTCGAAAATTTTTCGATTAAAAGGTAAACAGGGAGAGGTAATTAAATTGTTGTTCATATTTTATTTAAATGTTTTTATTGTTACATTTTACAATTATTGATGAAAGTTCCTTGAAATATTAATTACTATATTTGCTCTAAGTGCGAGCTGTTCTTTAACACGAGCCTGGAACTTTTACAATAACACCATTCAAATTAGTGTTACAAGTAAATGTAAATTGAAATTTATCGTTATCGTTTATAGCATAACTAATTAGTATTCAAACAGACCGCCGTATTTTACCTAATGAAATAAAAACTGTATTACACGGTTATAGTTATTTTGTGATTGTTCGATTCGTGGTGAAAGAACTTGGTGAATATTGAATACGTGGTTATAGTACGATGGTTGTCGAAGAGAAAAATAGCGAATCGTTGAAAGAAAATCAAGTAAATGATGACGCGATATCGAAGGAACCGAAGACGTACTCGCTGGAAAGTATCCTTTTCAGAAAATTTTTCGTATATGAATATTGTTCTGTCAGTGCCATATGTCATTTCCTAACCTATGTTTGTCATCCCGTGTGATTTTATATCAAATATACTAGTCATTATGCAAAATCGAATGAAATAATATCCTTCTATGTAAATCTACATACGATAACAACATATTAGGAAATGTCTTTTGGCATCTACGATAATGTTTTTATTTATGTTTACATTATTATTGACATTTCGCACAATGTTAGTACAGCGCAATTAAATATAGTTAATTAACGTCGTTCATTTTTTTTACATTCCCAAGAACCATGCAATTCTATGATCACTTAACAACTGAATAGTCTTGAAAATAATAAAACATGCACAGCAGCAACATGGGTTGAGACATGGTGACTATCAGAGGTACCGTGGTTATTGCTCAAGAAGGCTCAGGCGCCTGAGGAAGGTTTTAAAAGTTCCACAAGGGGACAGGCGTCATTTTAAGAAAAGGGACATAACATCTGCTGTGGTTACCGATGACAAATTTTTACAAGTTCCCTTAGTAATGGCAGAACGTGCTTGGAGCTATGCCATGCAGCTGCGTCAAGAATCTAATACAGAACCAAGGAAAAAGTTTCATTTGATATCCAGGCTAAGAAAAGCTGCTGCATACTCCTTACAGTTACAAGAATTAATAGAGGTGAGAGAAACTTTTTTCCATGTCAAAGAATGTCCACATTTTAATGCAAATATCTTTTTCAGAATGTCAACTGTGATGCAAGAACAAAGCTAGAAGCTCAAGCCTATGTAGCATGGATACACGGATCTTTACATTTTGAATTGCAGCTATGGAAGAAAGCAATGGAGAATTTAAAAAAGGCTCAAGTAGTGTATGGAAAACTGGCATCTGCTCTACAAGAATCTGAGCAAGTGATGTACAACGCTCGCGTCGAAGAGCTTGCTCCTAGCCTTAGATACTGCGCTTACAACATCGGAGATACCACTGCCATAGATGATTTAATGCAAATGAGGGGTCAGCTGAGCGGCGAATTGCTAGCTAGTTTAGACTCGTTGATAGCTCAGACGCGAGAGAAACAGGCGAACGCCGAAGAGGTGACCTGGCGTGGAAAATCTTGTGGCATGGTGCCACCTAGAGCGGCTGGTCTGCTTATTGCCGATTCTAGATTGAATCAAACGTTAGAAAAAGCTGCCACGAATCAAGCTAAGATCGATCTACTGGAGGCGCATCTGATAGATTGCAAGGATGCAATCTCAGTCGTGAGAGATTCTTTCAAGAACGAATTGAAGAGCAAAGACAACGATAAACTGTCCCCTCAGCAGCATTTAATCACATATTTGCAATACATTAGACTGTCTCGTACTTTAGAGAGAAACTTGGCTTTAATAAAAACGGCGGAGGAGTCTGCAAAAGCGAAGCCACAGGATATTGTGCGACTATATGAGGCAGCTCTTCATAATCTTGTAGAAATATCGCAGCTGCAGGACGACGAGGAATTTTTACGCGAGCAGGAAGCTAAGACGAAAAGTTACAGAGCGTTTAGGTGTTACTACATGGCCCAAGCACTGGCTAATCTTCACCGATGGCGTGAAGCCATGGCTTTGTATCAAAGATCCGCACAACATGTGAAAAACGCTATGGAATATGGAAAAGTGCTTCCAGAATCATTAAGAGAAGCTATTCAGAAGTTGGAGACTTCTATCGAAGGTGCCAAGTATGCGGCACACGCGCACAGTGTCTTGGAAGAGGAACAGGAAGAGGAGCCTGGTGTTAATAAATATACGAAAACGAAAAAACCTTTGTACGAACGTCTACACGAGTTCAGAGAAGATCCTGCTCTTCTCACGAAGCAACCGAATGTTTACAAATTGCCACCAACTATGCAGCCTATACCTTGCAAACCACTATTTTTCGATTTGGCCTTTAATATGGTCGAATTCCCTGATTTAACCGAGAAGCTGGGTGACCAAGCTAAGAAAGGCGGCCAAGCTGGTCTTACAGGATTTGTTAAAGGTCTCTGGGGTTGGGCAAACATATAAAACGAGAAAACTAATCTCGAAAGGCACTCTACTCTGTGTATTATCACACGAGGTGCGATAAGGTATTTTAACGGTATTCAATCGCCTCGACGAGAATCAAGTTTTCACTTATAACAACAGCAATATTGAATAAAAGAAATAAAGAAGATATTATTAATATGTGTTGGACTTTTTATTTATATTTAACCCCCTAACTTTCTAGAATATAATTTAATCGTTTATTCACAGCTCGAAACATTAAATGGTAGGCTGTTTTATTGGATGCCGTAATATCTTTCTAAATACTCCTTTCACGGAAAAAAGTTTACGCGCGGAAAAATTTAGATATCGAACAAGGCGAACGGTAGATTACCGCACCACACCAAACTAAATTCAAGATAATCAGAAGACCGTTATTAGACATTTTATATTGAATATAATTATTACGTACGTTCGGTGTATTTATTTTTATATCATAAGAGACGACAAATTTCGTAAAAATATAGAACGAAATAAAAACCGTACAACATTAAGGTAACCAGCTAACCTTAATCGTTAAAAAAATCTTCTCGTGTTATCACAAGTGTTTCAGACCGCTTACTTACATAAAAAGAAAAAAATCATGTCGGAAAATTCGAATGTTACGGATACCGAATTAAAAGAACTGGCTATTTCTCTTTATGAAATAGACGCATTAAAATTTGGGGAATATGTAACAAAAGTTGGTCTGAAAAGTCCAGTGTATTTCGACTTACGAGTGATAATCTCGCATCCAAAAATAATGGTAAATTTATTCAACAATATTTTTATGAATACCAAAGAAATTAATATGATTTTTAACACTTACCTTTATACCTTGTGCAGATTCGCCTGGCTAGAACATTATGGACATTTGCAAAAGACTCTGCAGACATAGCACAGATATGCGGTGTCCCTTATACAGCTTTACCTTTGGCAACTTTGATTTCAGCTGACACAGACATACCCATGTTGATTAAAAGAAAAGAAGCAAAGGCATATGGTACAAAGAAACAGATAGAAGGCAGATTTAAACAAGGAGATCAATGTGTAATCGTTGAAGATGTAGTTACAAGTGGTAGCAGTATTCTAGAAACAGTAAATGTTTTAAGGAGGGAAGGATTGAAAGTGACAAAAGCATTTGTGGTAATTGATAGAGAACAAGGTGGCAGAAAAAATATAGAGAATCATGGAATTAAAATGAAGAGTTTGTATACAGTTACAAAACTCTTAGCATACCTCTTAGAAGCTAACAAAATTACGTTGAAAATTGTAAAAGAGGTGACTGATTATTTGTTAAAATATCAAGTACCTGCTTCTGCAGTTCAAGGTAAAAAAATATTTGGTAAAAAATTAATTACATATTCTATGAGATTAAATAATTTGAATTTTTCGTTTGAAACAGCTTCAGAAAAACGATTGAAGACTACGTTTCACGTTCGTGCAAGCAAAACCAAAAATGCAATTGCCACTAAGTTGTTTAACTTAATGGAAGCAAAACAGTCTACAATATGCTTGGCAGCAGACTTGACTGAAGCCGACGCTATTTTAGAGTTGGCTGATTTAACAGGACCGCATATTGTGATGCTCAAAACTCATGTAGATATAGTGGAAGATTTTAACGATGATTTCATAAAACGTTTAAAACAGCTAGCTGAAAAACATAATTTTCTATTAATGGAGGATAGAAAATTTGCCGATATCGGTAACACAGTAGCTTTACAGTATCAAAAAGGTGTATATAAAATAGCGGAATGGGCAGATGTTGTTACAGTACACGCAGTTACTGGTCAAAGTATTATAGACGG